ATGTATTGAAAATCTTTTAGTGGAGAAGAACTTATTGATCAGAAAGAATATCTAGATTTTTCCCCTGGGTCCTTATGTTTTCTAGTATTCTACTTCTGGGATCTACTTGTAGGAAAAAAATTAAATTTTGACATCTGGGGTTACCAGTTGGAATTCAATTGTCCCTGCTGCAGACAGTCCAAACCCTTCCTCCAGCCACTGCACAAGAAGAGAGACATAGTGGGTCACTAAGGAGGTGTAAAAGAAAAGCACCACTTTGCTCCAAGTTCCTCTGATTATGAGGAAAAAACAGATAACAAAAAAATCCCAAAAGCTTAGAAAATCTTTAGGCAGTATTTGACACAAAAAGAATAGGCAACTGTTACCTGTTTTATACTCTTAGAAGAAAAAAAATATATATATGGTTAAAGAGAAAATATCAGCAGAATGTGATCTATTATGTCATTTCACAAGATAGCAGATAGAATTATCTGTTTTCAAGAAGCAGCTGTCCCATGGAGGCAATATTTTTTAAAGTAGTCACAGTACTTTTTATGACAGATCAACTATAGGTTAATAACTATATAGACCACCCAGTAGGGGGGCTTTGGTAAAAAGTTCTTGTTCAAGAGATGAACATTTCAGGGAGCAGATAGGCTCCTGCAGGACACTTGGGAATGTGAGGGAAGCTGCAAAAGCATCAGGGCAAGTGGGGAGAGGCTTGTCAAAGCATGGCTTGGAGTCCCACGCGGGAAGGAAACAAAGGCTGAAATGTTAAATTTCTGCTACTTGGTAAGAAAAGGGATTCACATAATGACTCTGATGTAGATGCTCTTTATTTCATGACAATAATATTCAGCTTAGCTGGAGGCTAAGAAAAGGTTTCAAATTGTCTTAGAATATTTCTGCTGAATAGGAGGAACAAACAGGTTGAAAAGAATACTCAGAAAAGAAAAAAGGCAATGTCAGAAAGGTTTTTTTAGTTGTCTGGCTGTTCTTTTTCTCCTGAGCAGGAAGGCTGCTAACACACTTGCTGAGTATGAAGCCAAACCTGTTTCCTTCTCAGCCAGATGCTCTAGTGAGCAGCAATAAATCCAGCAGGCAAAGAACCGCTCCACAGAAGTCTCAGAGGAAACCCTTTCTATAGATTTAAATGTCGTGAGGAATCTGATCCACAGAAAGTCCTGACACCGGTCAGGGTCTTAATGTTTCATGTCAAATTCAACTTTATGAAAAAGTAATATGACAGCTAATTAGAGCTCTGGATTTTATTAAGCTGCAATGCTCTGTTCACTGTTAGTTTGCCTTGCTTTCCTTTCCTTACATCTGCAGATAATGGACTCTACCAGGTACCGGCGACTTATATCAAGTGACACATAAAGACCCTTACCTGTTGAGGAATGCAAAGCCATAAATCTTCTAATGTTTTAAACAGTGTTTGAATATTGTGTTTATATTGGTGTGTTTTTTTCTGAAAATGTAATTTTCTTTGAAACAAATGAAATGAAGATTTAATGGAGATAGGAACACAACAAAGAATCAAATTATTTTCAATGAAAGTATCATCAGTAACTGAAAACTCAATATTCACTAGCACTCATGCAGCTCATTACTGTAAGTTTGTTTTGTTACTTCACTCATTTGTTCTACAATACTTTTGTATTAGTTTTCATTGTGTAAATGTCCTAATTTTATTTGTTTTCTCACTGACTTATGCAACTAAAATAGCAAAAAAAAAAAAAAATTATATATAGGCATACACTCCTGAATTAAACACATATATTCACGTACCAATGAGTAACATCTGCTCCTCCAAATATTTATTCTGCTGAATCTCTAGTCTGTGAATGTTCATAATAACTAATTAGGCAAGTTAAAACTCTCTTTCAAGATCTCTCTCAAAAAAAAACCCCAAACCAAAAACAAAAACCAAATGAGCTTCTTCACAGAAGCAGCTGACATGATAAATCATAGGAAATGGGAAACTTTCTCTTTTATTCCCTAAATGTCCTCAACAATTTCTTGATGCACCTGTGATTTACAGATGGGGTCTGATCCCAGACCAAAGGGAGTCAGTGTGATGTCTCTCTGTTGCATTCAGGGAGGTATGGATCAGGATTGCACACTCCCAACACAACTGTCAGTGCTTCCCCCAAAATCAATTTCTTCTGTAGATTAAGAAGTAAAAATAATATTTCTATTTTTAAAAAATAGGGAAATAATAGGAGGCAAAAGAAAGGAAAGAATAAGTTCTGCAGTGATTTATTTGGTCATGATCACAGAGCAGTCCTCCTGAAGTTCACGCTGGGGAGCAATATACTTTGGAAACTGTCAAGTACAGCAGCCACAAGATCTCAGTAAAATTTTTAATTATTAATAGCATTAAATATCATACAGTATGTCAGAAGTAGTATTTAGGTACTCAATGTCTAAATAATTATTGTTTATGTGTGGAAATGCTGTGTGCGAACACATGAGGAAACTCTTTTGGAATAATTACTTACTATTCTAAATAATAAGAATTTCTAACACACTAAAAAAAACCCCATACGGTGACCAAGCATGACACAGTATGACCTCTTGGGATAGATATTAAATGGTGTTACCTTTTCGGGAACGACGCTTTTGCCATCCCATGCGTAGCCTCTCTTTGTGAAGTAATTCACTGTTGCAAATTCAATGAGTGCAGAAAACACAAAGGCATAGCACACCGCTATAAACCAATCCATAGCAGTGGCATAGGCCACCTTGGGGAGCGAATTCCTCGCGCTGATGCTCAGAGTAGTCATTGTCAGGACAGTTGTCACTCCTGCAAAGCAAACAGTTTTAGTGTCCTTAGATCAGTGGCTATATTTGTGCTTCATTTCTCAACTGTTACAATAGGTGGGAAAGCCTTGTCTTCGCCCCTAATTCTTATAAACTTCCCCACTAAAGTTCAGTTGCTAATTGAGGATATCAGATTTCAAGTTCTGTGGAAGTTGCAGGATCTTCAAAACATTTTTATACCTTTATTCTTTGACATTGTTGTAGTAGAATGATATTTTTAAAGTTGGAATGGAAATAATATTTTGAGTTGTGGACTGGGTACTACTTCATGCTTCCTGGTATTCGGAGAATCATTGTTGCTGTTCCTTATTCACGCCCTGAGAATTGTCCTACAGATGTAACAATTTAATATTTTTAGTTCTTTCTTGCAACAGTTCTAAGATATTTAGATAGAAAACTAAAAAAAGTTGTTGTTTTCATTCAGCGTATTTGGTATATGCTCCTTCAAATGTACACTCAAATGCACTAAGCTTTATGTGATATTGCATTTATTTGAATTGGTGGTTTTACAGATTTCGCTCCCTTTTTTCACTGATGCCCTGAAAATAGCAAAGAATTTGTGTAAGAGCGAGGATAATGTAATTTGCATTTCTGGTATCAGAGCTTCTCACTGCTGATGAACCTTTTCCCTTAACTGGCCATAGAGAGCAAGCAGGACTGTATTGAACCCACTCTGCTTGCAGCTGCTTGAAAAACAAAAAAATCTACAAGTGCCGGCCAGACATTTACATCAAATCACATGTCCACAAGTTACCTTGACAACTGCAATGTCATGTGTTGAATGTGTCTTGCGAGTTCATCTTCGCTGCACTGAATGTTAGTGAAAATGTGCAGTGGTCTAAAATAGGCCAAATAATGAAAAATGTGTTTACGTGCTGGTGTAAAGTGCTTGAATTATTAGTGCCTAATGAGGAAGCGATTTCTCTTGCCTGAGAGACAACCTAATCTTGTCTTTGACTCATTACTAGTGAGCTTATGTTTCTCTTACATAGTAGCAAAACAGGATTTATACAATCATCTGCGGTACTAAGTGGACTAAAAGATCTAAGTTGTGAGTCTGTATATATAAACATTGTTGCAAAATTTTCTGAAACATTGTTTCACTCCTATTAAGAAATGAAAAAGCGATCTTGATATATAATGATGGAGTAAACACAAGACTATTTACTAAATAACTGTCTTCTAAAAGGAAAACTTTCAGAAATGCGTGGGTTCTTGAGCCTGTGAAGACAGCAGCTTGAACAGCGTGCAGTATTATATATTATTCATTGTGAGACTAGGAAATTTTGTTCTCCATCTAGGGACAATGAAGTATAGCATTTCAAACTGATCATCTGACATTTCTTTTTAAATGGCATGTACAAAAAGAGGTAAAATAGTTACAATTTCAATAGCTGTGACTACAGAGGCCCATGAAAGTCCCAGATTAATTTTCAGTGAAGTTGATGATAAAAATTCAGAACTAATTTTAGGTGTTAATCTAAACAATATTACGTAAATAAAATTTAATTATACTATGATCTAAACCATTCTTCTGTAAATGCACATGTGTGTATTAACAGAAAGCCTCTACTTGGTTCATGAGATCTAAGGCTACGCAAGTTGCAATTGATTTCCAGAGGCACTGGGAAACTAAAGCACAGCTGTGAAGAGTGCCAGAAAAGCCCAATAAAAACAGCTCTTGTTGAACAAGAGTTTCAGAGTCTGATTTTCTCAACATAAGGCCTTGTGACTCTCTGGCTTTGCTATGTCCAGTGTAAATGGGTAAATTCTCTTTGGCGAAGCAGAAGGGCCCATGGCGTCCTGCCCCAGCAGTGCCCTGAGGCAGGGAAACTAGTGTAAAAGCCGACTCAGCTGTGTATTTTTCCACCTCCTCCTGCCAAACGTATTCAGGTGTCCCATCTGAACATCACAAAAAAGACGAGGTCACATAGCAGAAGTCTCAGGTTCTGTTTTCCTTAACTGAAGATTTGTTACATCATCATCTTTTTTTTTTTTTTTTTTTAATTATGTACTTGACTTGGATTAATATCCCCAAAGAATATGCTAGTTTGTTTCTAATTTTAAGATAAGCATTTCCAAGCTGTGGTTAAAACACGAGGGACCAACTGTATAAACTTAGAGTCCTTTAGATTGCCTTCTTCCTGTATTCGTTGAGTGCATCTATTTACCACTGTAAGCACAATAAATTGTCACTGATTTCAACAGGACACTTTTAGCAGCAGCCTGCAAAAGGGACTGATGTAAAAGATTTTTAAGGTAAGAATTTTCAAAGGGCCTAAGGATGTCAAATGACAAACACCCATTGATTAAAGCCTTTTTGACAATCCTCACCGTGAATGTCATTGCCATTGTCAGAAATGTTTGATTCATATACTTACTGTTTTGGAAAAGTCGAACTGTAATAGATCGCTTAAGATATTTTCAGGTCTCTTTTTACAATCAGTTTAAAAGCTTTGGACCTTGAATCAGCTTCTGCTACATCTTTGCAATGAAATGTGCTAACTATTGTGTACTGCACTATGTCCAGGCTCATGCTGTTCTCCAATATCATGTTAGGCATAACTAGTTTTACCATAAAATTTCTTAAACATATTTGACTTATGATTGCCAAGTAGTTTATAGGTCTTGCTTACCAAATACAGTTCTTGCTGGAACAGATTCTCTATTAAGCCAGAAGGACACCTGTGACAGTATCACTGTCATGATGCATGGCAGATAAGTCTGGATGACAAAGTAACCAATCTTTCTCTTCAAATGAAAATGCGTAGTCATAACAACATATTCCCCTGAAAACAGGAAAAACAGAAACATTAAAGCTTTTATAAATACACAAATTAAAGGGGGCTTTATAGGAAGTATTTTTTCATTATAGTCACCCCTATTGTAAAAGAAATGTCCTCAGATCAAATTGGGTCAGCTCTGAAGAAAACATTTAATAAAGCAGGTTATGAAGTTCTACTAATAATACAAAACTAGACAGTTCTGGGAAATACTAATTAAATTTACATCTTTTCATCTCTGCTGAGTAGTGAATGAAAGTCTGCATTAACTGGTGGCTGTTTAGGCCTCTTGTGAAAGGTCTTATTCCATTAGAAGATGGAAAACCACCGTAACATACACATGTAAACACCATATAAAGACTGAATCAAGACAGGCACTCAGAAGTGTTTCAGTCGGGCCAGGCTTAAGATGTAATTGTTGATGTGATTGTGTCTGCATTACCACCGCCTGGGCTTTATGCACACTGAAGATTAAGTGTCCCTGTTCTGCTAATTCAGTATTTTACTAAATGATTATTCTCTCCTGAAGTAAATGGACAATGCAAGAATAATACAGAATATTTTCATTAGCACTAACTTTTTGGGTGCTATAAAAGCATATGAGCTGGGTATTCTAATTGCAATTGAAAGGAATCTTAAGTATTTATATAACTCTATAAACCTTCCCTGCCAGAGCACAGCAAATAATGCCTCATTTTCAGATCATTATTTACATCATTGAAAATGAATTTTGAAAAACAGTATATTCTCAAAAGATAGGAAAACCTACTGTTGTGACTTTTTTTGGAGTAGATTGATTCTTCTTATTATGCAATAAACATTATCTTAGGAAAGAAACAGGTGGATGTGTAACTGAATGGAAACCTCTGTCTAGATTAGAGATGACATGTGAAATTACTGTTATTCTATTTTAAAATGTAGGCAGTTGGAAAGAGCAAGTTGCTCTTGTACAGGAAAAGCTTAAATTGGATTGAAAAACTATGTCTAGACATTGACTGCTTATGCATTGAGTATGTCAAATGCCCTTTTCTTTAATTCACAGTCTAGAAGAACATTCATTTGAACAGTCTTGCTCAGAGTATAACCCTGAGGAAAGCTTATAAATAAGATGTGACAATACTCCTGGTATGTTTCAATATAAAAGACAGTAGCAAAGGGGAAAAAGAGAATCAATTATAAATTGAGAGGTAAAGCAAAGGATATACAAGAAAAAATTTCTTTCAAAAATAGGAATGGCAGAAGTAGTATAGTGGACATTATTACTTGAATTTTGCCCACCTTTCTTTAACTGTCACTGAAACAACCTTCTGTTCCTCTGTACCAGATATTATGATTTTATGAAGGGTGCCAGCCTTGTCTAGAAGAGCCAAAAATTTAATATTGTCTACTAAAATATGACGTGGGAAGCTATTTTAATGCAATCAGATATAGAATGTTCACAACGGTATGTCAGAATTAATTCAGTGACTGTAGATGGCAAGCTAAGAATACAGAGTGAACACACCACTGTACTCTGAAGCTTTATTTAGCTGCTTAAATTATCAAAGTATTTTTAACCTCTGGAAAATGAGAACAAGATTCAAAGCATAAAGGCAATTAAACAGACAGGGATTACTCTCATCTGTTAAGCATTGCAGCAGGTCTGAGCTAGAAGTCAGCTAAAGGTAATGCCATGAGGAGTGAATCAGGCAAAGCATAGGCCTAGAATAATGCCTACAGTTCAGTTACAAGGCAAAACCATATTTTTAAGTCTCCAAAGTACCAATGGACTGCAGTCATTCATTAGAATGGAGCAGATCTTTGATGAGATTTATTTAAATAAGTGCAGGACATGAAAGTACTCCAGTTATTTACTGAATCTTTAGCTTCCCACATTTTATGGCTTGCTTTAATTGAAAAGCATAACCACATTCATGACAGCTGCTGACCACTGTCTAACTTCCCAGCAATTTCTCTGTAATTCTGTTTTCCAAGGTTTGTAATTCAGCCATAAAATTCCCTACAAGATAAAATTTCAAATAGCTCTTGAGCAAAATATTTCGTATGTTCATAGGGTCTGATTACTAGGCTTTCACAAGTTGTAGCTTATGCATCTTGCTTTCTCTTATCTCTTACTCTCTTATCCAAAGAAGTTAGAAAGGTATTTCTTTTTAGCTTCCTTGGAATTCCTAAAGTCTTCTACAAATAACTGTGTTGAGCAGATAAATTTGTTTTTCATTTTATTTATTCCATGAAGTTTAAATTAGTTTATATATATTACACAATATGAAGCATTTAAAATTAGTCATACAAGTCCTTCATCTATATCAACGTAATGTTCCGAATGATTGTCCACATTTGAATTCTTCCAGTGCTCTGGAAGAGTTTGTGCCTGTGCTCAACACTTCTGTAGCTGCAGTTTTTAACCTGCCCTTAATTCTACAGTATATCACAATCATTGAGTCAAATGCTCAGGTGGTGTCAATTAACCTGTGTCCTTAGAAGAAAACAGTTGATAATTCAGTAAATTTACATTAAACTTATTACTCAGTGTTCTGTAAACTATTTCTGAAAAACCCAGTTTATCAGGTGAGCACCTAAAATTAATGTGCATCACGTCAGACATAAGGTTTGAGGTGGGGACTGAATTTTAGCTGTAATAATACTTTTTCTATTGCTGTAGGTAGGAAGTAAGGCTTTCCTTGCCATCAATATAAAGCAAAGTATTTCTCATTTACTACTTAGGCCATGTAACCCAATAGAAAAATTCTTAAGAACAGCATCCTCTCAGCAGATTTACAGAGCATCAGAAAAAAATATACCATTGTGAGTATAAATCCTGACGATTCTCAGTGCAAATCAATGTTTTCAAGGTGGCAAAATAATTCTACGTAAATAGAAACTTGCACAAGCCCTTTAAGCATCTGTTAAGGTGCTTACAAAAAAGATCATTTAAAACTCTTTTTGAGTCAATATGAGTCAGTAGTTGAAGAGTGACAGGAATTTTACATACAAGTAAAAAATGGATGACTCTCTGCTTAAACAAAACAGCAGCAACAATAATTATTATTTTGTTTACTGAATGCTATTTTTAAGCATGTAGTAGCTGCACATTCCATTGCCAGCAAAGATGAGTAACTATACTATAAAAGGTTTTAGTCTTTCAAGATTCTCTTGTTATAAAAAAAGTCAGTTATCTTGTTCTAGATCCAGAAATAAGGATAGCAGATGGCCTACTAGCAAAGGGAGAAATTAAAGAAGAAAAAAAAAAAAGACTTTATGGATTCAACAAATCATTTAATAGTTTTGTGAATGTTTAGAGTAACCCAGTTACACTCAAATTCTTGGAAAATATGTGTCTGGAATTCCAGACAACTATAAATATCATCTTAAAATTGCCCAAGATGTTGTAGATTCCTCTAATGATCCACAGAATCAGCTGCAAGAGCGCTTCAGTTTTCTTGCCTAATAAAGGTGCTGAGAACCCTTAAGTGAAGACTGTCTGCAATTCCTTTTGTCTTTTTGTCAGATTAGTCATCATCCACAACTCTGAAAGTAGGGACAGATTTCATATTTTCATTACATATGTCATATCTTAAAACAGAGATGATCAGAGGTCAAAGATGTGCCAGAGGATTCTGTTGAGACTAGCTGCCCACCTACCTGAATGGGGATAAAAGTGATTATTAACCACTTCTGATCCTCACCATTATTTTGGGGAAGGCAAAGCATTTTTCTTTCCAAAGCAAATCAAGAAGAATTTTTCCTTGAGACACTGAAATTGCAAGCAATAAAGGTGTTTCTTCCACCACTGTATATTTTTATCAGGTAGTAACTAAAGAGGATTGCAAGTTTGGTACTGAAAAGATTATTTAATGGGCTTATTTTTAGTTTTGATAACCATTGTATTTAGTTCTTTGTAATGTTTTTCTGCATCTAGACAATAGCGTCTTTATTTCAGCAAATATTAATTATACTGTATTTAACTTTATAGAAAGGCACGGTAAAGAGTTTCTTCAGGTAAAAAAAAGGAGGCAGAATTCAAACCTATGAAATATCATGGGCAAAACAAATATTTCTTTGTTTCTTCATGGAAAGGTATGAAGAATTTTTACACTTCTTATGTTTGCCTTCAGCTCTGTTTAAAAATTTGTTATCTGCCTTTCTTAACAATTTATAGGGTGCTTCTTGCACTGCTGTCTAGTTACTCTGAACTATATCTGGTATCATCTATTTGGTTTGGATATATTCCCAAGCTTATGAGTGTCTTCTGATTATTCTGCTGCCCTTATAATGCATCCAGCAAGCAGAGAATTGGCGATGATTGCAAAAGGGCAGGCACGCAGGTTGCTGAGGTCTCTCTGAGTGAGTAGCTTCAGAACAGAAAGAGCAAAAAGCTCGAGATCCTTGCAGTTCCTCACAAATCCTATTCAGTTTTCAGCAAAGGGCAGCTGGGGTGAATTACTGGCTCCACAAAAGTCAATAGCAACATTTCTAGCTGTGGCCAGGCCAAGAGTTCTCCCCTTTTCTTTTTACTTGTCTGATCCTTGCCTCTGTGCTCAATAATGGAAGCAGTGAATCTAGGGGAGTAGTTGTGTTTATTGTTCTTACGCAAAGTCCTTATTACTGCCATCCCATTTACTTCTTTTATGATTACATCAACTGAACAGAAGCTTCGAAGCAGTAACCTGAATATTGTTCCACTAGAAACTTTTGTCTGTGAGAAATTTTGTTGGCTTAGTAGAGCATATGAATATATTTTGGAAAGCTACATAAAAATTTCAGACATGAATTAAGGTTCACCTTAAATTGACTCACTTTTCCTTAAATGTTCATTGACTTTATGAATGACATTAGAAAGTTGGGTTTATGCAGGTATAAGTGTACTCCTCTAGTTCAGTCACAATGTCAGGTGCATTCAAAGCAATACAACTACTTCTTCTAATGCAATGTTTCTTTCGGTCCATTGAACAGTCAATCTAGTCAACATTTTGAGTTCTTGTTCATGCCCAATGCTCAGTTTATTACTGTATTTAGGTCTTCATGCTCCTTCTAAATTATCAAAAAAAAAAAAAATTACATCTTGAAACAAACACTGCAAAGTGAAAAAGCAAAGGTTTTTAGCCAGCTTCAAGGTTACAGGTATATAATACCATAAATGTTGGCTATATTTCTGTATCTCATTAATAGTTTTGGAGTTGAAGCTGGTGCTAGCTTTAAGACACCTTAATCCTGTTTGGATGTTCCAGACGGTTTTTAATTTGATGACATGATTTTTCACTCTCTAAATACCTCTTTGAGAAATTATATGCTTGTTTTTAGCAATTTACTTCACTGCCTTCAGGAATATGATCTTTGAGGATTTGTATTCTTGTACTATTTTTTTAAGCTTATATAGTAAGCAGATAATACCATAAGGATATGAGGAGTGCTTCTTTATAATGTAAATTACTGTTTTTTCTGGCTAGATCTGTCACTATAGGAAGCTTTTTAATTGTTCAAATATTTTAAACACCAGTTGAAGTAGGAAAATAATTCCAGGATATGTTATCTTTTCAGAGTCAAGTTTTCCTAATCTGAAGCTCATATACTGCAATTTACCTCTCTCACTCTTTGGTCTTTGTATTTTTTCTCTTGCTTTAAATTATGTCTTGGCAGTTAAATATGACCCTTCCCAAAAAAACTTTTTTACAGACCTGTACTGGACTGAACAATTCCAGAGTCCACAGTTTGTCCAAGCAGATCATATTGATTCAAACGAGAGCCGTCTTCAGCCACAACCACTGACCTTGCTGGTTCCCGTGTCCATTCATACACAACCTCTGCTCTGGTATAAGCATCTAATTTAAAAGAAATACATTGCATTTCAGCTTTGTACCTTCTATTTCCACATGGCTTTATCAGAACAATGTTTTGAGCAGTAGTTTGAATATTAATTTTTCTTTAATTGTCTGTAGGAACCCACAACTAATCTACTGGAACTTTTTATCTATAGGAAATATAACTGATTTTATAGGTCTATCCATACAATGATTAGCTAAATATCTGCTGTAGAGCTGGATTAAGGTTGGTCCTCAATGGCATGAAAATCTTTCTCTCCCTTACATCATTCCTACCTATGTAAAATCTGAGTAACCAGGAGCGAGAGTGAGATGTGGCATTCCATGGGCATGCGAGGACTCCAACTCTTTTTCTAACTTTTAACTATTATCAAGAAAGATGAGCCCCAGTCTTTTCAATTTGTTGTAGTGTGGTGTTGTCTGGGCCACTGTAAGAAAATAAGTCCTTCTCAGAGTGGCTTCAGTGATCTTATCATCACCGGCCTGGCTAGAGCTCTCCATTTGGTTATCCCCCCCCTTGCACTGCCCTTGCTGTATAACAGGCATAGCAGACGTTTCTGAGGTTGCCTAGGCTCAAGTGAGTTTAAATCACAATTAATCTATTTTTTTGCTCTGGTTATTTCTGGGAAATTCTCACACTTAAGTTCACATTTATTTGAGCCTTGAACAAAGCAAAAGAAAAACACTGTGGCCTCTCCAAAGCTTAGTAGTCTAGTATGTTACATAGATAATTCAGTAGCATACTACATATGCCATCCAGGTGTTTTGTGCTGTTATTAGTATGTTGTTTATGTTATTTCAGGAATCAAACCATATATAAATATTTTGAGGCCGAGTCCTGTTGTAAAATTCTTCTGTCATTTTGCATAGTCTGGAGTCTGACAGCTCTTGCTCTGAGCAGTTAGGGTGGGAGTTAGTTGTCTACATAGAGGCACCTAGTGTCATTCTTTACACGTAAGAGTATCCAAGATATGGATGGGACTGAATGTGCGATCAGAACCTACATAAAACTTGCACCCACTAAATGCAGCTGGAAGCCAGATGGGACATTTTAGGGCATCTAAAATGACAGTAGACTCCTACCTACAGGATGAGATTTTCCCTTTTTTCAGGACTGGCAAGCAGGAAAGGAAAAGGAGGAATCTGATTCACTTGACCTCATTTGTGAGTTAGTAATTTTATCTTATCAATGTAAGAGATAACAGTAATTGAAGAGGTGGTATTGGATGGAGTATGGTGGTAAATTAATTGCATGGCATTTGATCCTGCATTATTGAAGCGGAAGGGTGCTTTTACCCTCAGGCTTCATATTCCCCAAGCACTGTAACATATACATAGCTTTTTGGAATCAATGGTAAATGCAAATCTACATCTTCTGACTTTAAAAATAATGGCCACAGTAAGTACAAGAATTGTCTTGCTAATCTAGTCACATAAAGAAAGAGTGGCAATAATAATATTAATTTTCAAGCATTTTACTTGTTCTGGAGCACGAGAGCAGTTTGAAAGAGAGAGGACTGATTTCCTGAGCTGCTGAGAACCACTGGATTGGGTTAGAGAAAAAGGGAGTACACTCATCAGTGCTGGAAATGAGCTCGCCCTGCCCTGTAACTGCCAGATTCGGTGCTCTGTTTAGCTTCCATCCTCAGCTTCCAATTCAGATATTGCATAAGTAGGAACACAGCCTTTTGCTCCTATCACTGCTGCTTTCCAGGGTGGCTTTAGTTTTAAACTGACAATCAGATTTTTGTGGTAAGGGTTCAGGAGAGCATCTGCCATTCTGATTTTGTTTTGCCAACATATGGCTTTTTGTTGTTCCAGATTCTTTTTAGCATTTGTCACATTGAATTTACATTGGAATAACCTCTAGCTTAAGCTGCTATTTTGGCAAATCACTTTAGCCTTGGAGCTGGGTCAAACATTTATCAGCCTCTACAGTACAGGCAGAGTCCGTAGGAGATGTGCAACTCCTTCAGTATGAGGCTTTTCTGAATCCAGCTCCAACAAGTGACGAGTAACAGTGGAGGGCATGGAAAAACTTATCCAATTTAATTCCAAACAAACAGACCTGGGCAAACACTACCTTGGGGAGCTACTAAGTGTAATATTGTAGTCTGCACTTGAAGCATGGCTTTCATGACAATTAAATGTCTTTTTCAGTATTTTTTTCAGTACATTAAGATGATTGCAATGAATTGCTTTAGTTGTTTGACAGAAATGTGCCAAATACATTTAAACATGATTCCCACTGAAAAAGTGGCAATTAAGTATAAGAACTGTTCTTTTTCTATGCACAATGGCAAGTTCCATTTTCATACCTTGCTTGGGTCCAGCCATTTGTCCCGTGGGAGATATTTCTATTGATATCAATAACTAAATATTGAGACAAACATTCTATAATCTGATAATTATGACATATAATCTGATGAGAAGGAGGGGAGAGGTCCAGCTTTAAGGCCCTGTTCTGGACAGTGAATTCCCCATGCAGTGTTTGCAGTAAAACCATGTTACAGAAGGAACTCCTCCCCATGAGGATCCCAGATGAAAAGCTCACCTGAATTTAGTAGAAGAATGCAAAGTTTCCCTGAAAACTCCTTGATTTTGTCTCATGGCTTTTCCCAGCATTTGGAGTTACTTGTTTTGCTGGGCCTTGTTTAGGACACCTGGCATGATAGTTAGTGTTCAAAACAAAAAAATAATGAAAATAGCCTGTAAAACATGACAGATCATGCCTGCACTCTGAGCTTAGAATGCCAGTTATCTCTGACTTTAGTGTAATAAATGGTCTTTAAATCAGAAATATCACTGATTTTTTTTGTTCATTTAAGAAAATTATGTATATTATGATAATAAAATGTTTTTTGCACAATAAAAAGGAAACCATTTTAGATATAAAAGATATGCAGATACACTTGCATGTCTTTTTGCTATCTTGATTTTTACCTTGTGGTGTGGTTCTGGAGTTGTATTCAAATCCATATTATCTATCCCTTTTCATTCATAATTTCTGCATCTCTTAATCATTTAATCGAGGCAAGATCCTTAGTAATCTGGAAAGCTGTGCACTTTGTGAACCAAGAGTACACTAATCTGGGACACAGTGAGCCAGAAAGAACTCAATGTGGGAAAAAAATGGGAACTATTGTTCAGACTAGGGAGTGTCTGGTGTTTAGGCTGTGGCTCAATGATGCACAGATGTGGTGACAGGTGTCTTACCAAGCCTACAAAAATTCAGTCTAGTAGTTCAAAAACTGTTGATGGTTTAACTTTACATTAGCAGGTTTTCTGCACAATTAGCCATCTTCCAACATGCAGTCCGCATAAACACTTTAATGTGCATTTCAAAAGAAATTCAATCCTGCGACCACTCCTGATCTAACTGGGATCTCAGGTGCAAAGATCTAGTATTATTGATCACGAACCCACTGCAGCTATCTGCCGTATTATTAGCTGGAGTAAGGCTTCCCCCACCACCTCCTTCTGTTTCAAAGGAGTTTCGGAAAGATTTATTGGAAGTGCTATAAGAAAACTTAACATTCAAGCGTAAACTATTTTTGTCAGTTATACTCCAAGTTTATATGAGCTTTTTGTTCTTCAAATCTTATCTAGGAGGCTAGTAGTTCTTTAAAGACAAAATATCTGTCCCTTCTCATGGTAAACATAGAGCTATTCAGCCCAAAGTATCCTGTCTGGTAACATGTGAAGAATGAATTGGGTGTTCTGTTTCTTGACTTCTAAAATAGATCAAGCCACTAAGTATCCATTATCAGTGAAAAGACCCATTTCTACTAGAAAAAAATAGCCATTGAGGAAACAATTTGTACACTATTACATCTTCCACACCTTTTGTCTTCCTTGTTTGTGTTGAACCAACCACAGTAAAACAGCTCTTCACTTTTTTTTTTTACCTAAAGAGTTGAAGGGAGACTATATTTAATTTTTAAAAATATTATGTTTAGCTAAGTTTGAAAGTATCAATGTCAGATTGGTTGTTATTTAAATTAAAGTTTTGGTGAAAATTCTCAACTTACAGAAAGCTTTGTCAGTTATTACACTGATTTCAATTACATTACATTTTGTCCAGTATGTTCTCTAATCTAAGGTTACAAATGTTGCAAGTGTAGGACTCTATTTGGAGATTTGTGAGATTTTTCATTTCCAGAAATGTTGCATGATTGTAATATTAATATTTTATAATCTTAGGCAAAATTTTGTTCTAAAAGTGTCAAGACTATGGTAGGGGAATTGTTTTCACCTAAATCAATTCAGTTATCCATGGTCTGTATTACTTTTCTCTAACATTTTGGGTCTTAACAAAATAAAGCAATTTTAAGATTAATGACGTTTTCTATGTGACAAACTACTTTTCTAGATGTTTAGAGCATGTCATTTTTCTCTTTTGTGAATGTCCAGACATGACATTGGAGGATATTTAAGACACATAGAAGAGGTTCATTATATTAAATATAAATATATATAAGAATAAAAATACAATCCTGCAAAAAAGGTGAAAAATACACAAGATTAAAACCTTGAGGTTTTCTCAGTTGCAAAATACTTTTTTGAAGTGGCCTAAAAAGGGAGAAACCTCAATTTAAAATAAACTTACAGCTTCCAAATTTCAAGGGGCAAGCATGTGCATCCATAGGAAAGTCTTCTAAATGCATTGGACATTCTGCTCTCACAGTCAATCTATAATGGATTAATGAGCAAAAGGACACATTTATTCTAGTTTCATAGAAATAGCAAATAGACTTCTATTAAGACACATCGAATAAGTATAGCATAATATCTGTTATGTGATTAATTAGCAGCTAGAACGGGACCTGAATTATCTGGCTGGGGGTGCTGACAGGCATGTGTAGACACAGCAGTGCGACTGGCTCTGCCCCTCTACCATGTTTCACTGTAGAGCAGAGACATGCTCAGACTTCTAACTTGGCATGAGCATCAAAATCTATTAGAAACTGAAATTGCTTCCTTGCTGCCATCATTAAATTGGCCCACTCTGGATGCTCAGACATTTGCTGAAATCATTTCGTTGCTATCAGCTTGGGTGCAAACATATTTCTCAATAAAAATGATTAAATAAACTAGAAACAGTCACATACCACACATCAGCAAAGAATGAACAATAATACTTGAATACTAGGCAGAAGATTGCATTAAGGCACTTGCAAAGGTGAGCAAATAGAAATGGTTATGGTAAAAAAAAAAGACATATGTGAACAATGTGCTGCCAAGATAGTGTTCTTGTGGATTAAATCCCTAACAGCCAAGCATTTAGGAAGACAAGAAAAATTGACCTGGACTTGCATAACTACCAGCCAAGCAGATTCTAGCCTAGCCTAGGCAGTCTTGAAAGATGTTGCAGGATAAATTGAACGTATTTGACAGGCTCCCAAAAGCCTGGAGACTTTGTTCTCTCCAAATACTTGTACTGCTTTTAAAAACATCTTTAAAATTGTTAAAAGAAAACTCAGTGTTCACCTATGTACTAAGCTATCCATCTTGACTTTGAGTCAACAGAGTCACTTTATACCTTGTTTGATTCCATGGGAGACATAAATGGGGAATATGTAGCTCTGTAGAGACAACATACCATTTTTTTTCATTGTTTAATTTGCAGTCTTTTAATCCAGAATGTTTCCATGACTCTGTATCATCATTTTTTTCAAACGGATTTATTTAACTCCTCTGCTGACAACTGGATAGCTAAAGTTCAGTTACCCATGAAGAGAATAATATATTTCCAGTAAGAGTGGTGCCAGCACAAAAATAATTTTTTCTCTTAACTTTGCAAATGCTTTTGTTTTTCTTGTTATGAATGGAATAAGAAATGTCTATTTCTAGACCGTCATGCTCTGTATTCCCAAGCACAAGAAATATGAAGAATGGGCAATGAATTCTGTGTGCATCTGATAGTTCTTAGAATCTGCTTTCTATAGGATCCAAAGATTAAAGACCCTTGTACATGATCTGGTAGTCTAGATTATATTAAACTTTCAGGCTTTATTATACTTTACTGATGGAATCCTTGAAATCAACTCCAAATTAAGGTCCTCTGCAAACTGATGGATTCCTAATACTATAGATACCTTTTTAAAATCAAACATTAAGACACACCCAGGGAGTGTAAATGTAGCACAGTAGGAGGGGGGAAAAATAAACACTGCAAATGCCTCAGTTTGTCCATCATTCCATGGTCTATTGTGAAAATAATTACTAAGCGGGAATCAAATTATACTCAAAAAGGAACCTGTTTCCTGTTTGGAAAATATGATGCTTTAACAAGTTAACTTGTCAAGCTAAATGAAGGATATAATATTTTAGGGCTCACCTCATTGTGTATAGCAATGTCCCATCCTCTGTAATTCGTAATAGTTTATTTGGCATCGTCATGTTATGAGCCACTGACTTCTTTCCATTGTGGAAAAAGGTATCAGGTGTCCAAATTTTGCTGGCCATTAAATTATTTAACCGAAGAACAGTCATAGGTCCTTTGAATTTTAATCTCTCGTCTTTCCAGCTTTGGCGGAAAAATACATCTATAGTGTATTCCTACATCAATTCAGAAAAAAAGGGAAACACTTATGATGCCGTATGTTGCAATATAAGAACTTGAAAAGTATATTCTTACCGTTCCCTAGAAGCAAGATGACTATTAATGAAATTAGTAATTATCAGAATGTTTATTCTCTATATTACTTACAATGTACCTGAAGCTGGTTATTAAACAGCTACAATATCATTACCATGTTCAAAAGAATAAATGTTAGGGAGAATAGTATATCAAAAGTTAGACAAGAATTTGAGATATAATATAGTGGAAATAAAATAATTCACTCTTTTCTCACTTTTCTTTCACCTTCTGTAAAACTATAATTTGAAGCTGTGGATATGTAGCCAGTATGCATAGCACAGGAAGAATATATTTCTTAGAAGAAAACAAACCTGGTAGACAGGGTCTTACTAGAGTCTTTCATTCTAAGTGTCTCAATAGCATAAACATGTAGTCAATCTGCGAAAAGTTCACAGTTCAATAAAATTATGTGGTCTGATTTATGAGAGGTAGAATGGCTCATTGGGCCAAATCATTGGACTGCAGAGAGCACAAGCTGAAGACAGCTTTGGGCCAAGAATTATAGTTCAGTTATGCAAGGACTGGGCCAATGGGGAAGAGATGCAGTGGCTGACTCAGTGTACATGGGGAGAATCAAAATAACCAACACTCGCTATGAAATTAAAGAATTATTTGTTACAAAGCAACAGGAACAAAGTTAAGAGGGAGAGGGTGAAATTAGGAAAAATATGTTAAAGTATTACACATAAAATATAGATGTATGTGGGGTAAAAATGTGGAAAAACTCCTCTGGATGCAGTATAGTATAATATTTTCCCAGCGAAAAATTCCTCTCCAACGTGAAGTTCAGTATGGGATTATCCTGCCCCTTCCATCATTCATGGCTATGATATTGTGATAAACGTCAAAAGTAGCTATCCACACACTGTTCAAAATTACCCTGAATAATAATCTTTTGGCTCAGAAACTGAACCTTTGCTGAGATCTCCCGCCAATGGAGATGGCAGATCCTGAAATAAAGGAAATTCCTCTGTGTGAAGGCAACACAGCTATAAGGAAAAGAGCTGTCCAAAGGAATATATTAGTAAAGAGAAACACTCTGGAACAGTATGCAAAATCTCTGTGTGGCAGACTCCCTTAGACTTGTGATTTTTTCTTTTAACAAATGGCAATGCTCCATACAACATAAGCAATTGTGATCTGTTTATTCCCTGTGCAACTATCAGCAAGTAAGAATGGTGATTCTTACTGGTGGTGTGTTTTTCCTGGTTTTAGGGCATGAAATGCCTAAATAAATTTCTTGTGGACGTGGAAATGTTGCAGTTCCATGGGTTGCTCTTACTTTGGGTTTGTTTGGGTTTTGGGTTTTTTTTTATTTATTTGCGTCCCAGACCTGTGAATCATTTTGGTGCATACTTAATTGTATTTCCATTTTTTTAATCACATGCTCAGTGAGCTGCTGAAGCCTGGATTTGTTCAGCTCCAGTGACAACAGTTGTACACTTATAGCCAACTACTTGTTTTAGAATTTTGCTGCGTCAGGGCCTTAGGTTGAACTGTGTGCAAAATCTTGTCCCAGGTGTGCAGCAGAGTAGGAGAGAAGGAGGTTTAAAATGCAGTAGATGGCATTAAAATATTGGATTTCCTCTATGTTTTACTAGCTCCAAAGAAAATTTCCTCCTACACACATGGGAAAGGTAAAAGACATGCCCAGAAGGTGACATCATTTCAGTGTGCATGTAAGCCGTTCCCTTTTTATCTCTTTTAACTGCAAAGAAGGAGGTGCGTGGGAGGTGGTACAGGTTGAGACAAGGGAGTCTGGTTCTTCACTTTATATGAACACAAGGTTCTTATGCTGGAAAAGAACAAGGAGTCTGAGAGATTTGATAAGGGACCTGACAACATAAGACAAAACTCAATTAAAAAGTAGCTGACAGGTCATGTCTGGCACAGACTGAATCTTTCTCTATCCCAGGCCGTTGCACCATATAGGATGAATTCATTTTGGCTGAGATTTCTCAACCCCTTAGTTTTTACTATGCACTTTAACATGTACAATAATTCTCCTCAAATGAATCCTGACAGACAGCTGATCTTTAAGACCAAGTCATCAGATACTCTGATTAGGGCTTTCTTCTACAGGAGGGTGCCATACAGAACAAGGGAACAGAAGGATTTTCTTCAAGCCATGTACTGTAGCAGTGGTCTATGTGCAAACATATAAGTGAGATGACATTTGGAATAAATTCTCCACAATGGAGAATCTTCATTCCTTAGTGTGCAGGTAAAGAAAGAAGATTCTTATCTGCATTTTGGTAATAAATTGTATGGTATTCAATATTTATAACACTTTGACTTAAATGTTCTCTAATTTATTCATCTGATATCTCTCCACGGAGACTGTTTATTCACAGGGTAGACCACACTGTGGTCTACATCAGACGAGGTGCTGTACAGGAAGGTAGTAAGATAGAAATTCATTCCTGAAAAGCTTACAGTACAGACGCAGTGGGAATGAAGGTTTACTAGGAAAAAAAAAATCGGTCTTTATGAAAAAAGTTAATTTTAAAATGCTTCTTATTCCAGATAATATACATCAAATATTTCACAAAAATGACGGTCATGTGAGAATAGCTAGTTATCTGTTGATTAGTTCAATCCACCATCTGAGAGAGCATGCCTGAAAACCTGAAAAGTTGTTCCATAAAAGAGATGTTTTTATTTTTAAAAGTGCTTTTCTCCTGTTTAAGTTTATTCACAAGTTTAAGCCAAGACTTTCTCTTTATAGAATAACAGGTTATGTCTATGCTGCTCTTAAAAGAGTGTATTGAGAGTGGGTAGGAACACCATGTACTCCCTGATATATCAACCTACTATCTATATAACTGCCTCATTGGATTCCTGCAAACAGATGGTCTAGGTATGCTGATGTCTCACTGTGGCTGTAGTTTCATAACATATGGCGTCAGCTGGAATAGCTCATTGCCAGTTCCCAGCCATCAGCCCTGGGCTCAGACAGCAGCGCATCGTTCCCTCAGTGTGCCAGTACAGCTGCTTGTGAGGCATCCCTGTGACCAAATCCCACAATCCAGTCTACACTTACTGTAAATCTGCTCACTGGAGCAAATCTGGGGTAACCCTCAAATGATGGTGTCTACAACCAACCTGTAGCATGCATAGAGGACTTTGCACTAAATGTACATTGAAAGTAATATAAACTTTATATTCTGGTAAGCTTTTCATTTTAGCTTTCTCTTTCTGTCCCTGATTTCACACTTATTTCCTTAAGCAAAAGAGTTAGCATGAGTAGGCTGCACACACATTACTTTTTATGGGAGGTGAGTAGGAGTTTTACACTAAATACTTTTCTGTAGTTCCTTAGTTTTCAAAACATATGAACACCTGCTTGTGTGTTTTTTGGTCATACACTTTATTAAGAGACTGATTTTTTTTTCTCCTGTTTAACTAAGTGAAAATCAGGAGTCAATGTGGTATGGGCTTTTAATTATTTTTGAGATTTTTTTGTAGGTAGTAATTGCTTATGCTATAGTCATTCAGTTATACTGACATAGCTGAAGTCAATAATTTTTTTTCAAATATACCTATTCTTAATTCTGAAAGTAGATTATTTTTGGCTTCACTATTTTATTCTTTCTTAAAACCCAAATCCCATACAAATATCAGTTTGTCCTAGGAATGTCAAATTACCTTTACCTTCTACTTAATAATTAAATCACCTGAAACTCCAAAGTATAAGTAGATGCTGAAGTCCAAACATTATACAGTCCCAAGTAATTCAGCAGGCCTATCAGTTACTCTAAACTTATGTCTACATGTAGGAAAGCATCCATGTCCATTTGTTTATTAGATTGCCATTCATCATTGGAGTTTTCTAGTAAACCCGATTCAACAGAGCAAACAATAGCTTAGCCAGCTGACTTACAGAAAACAACTCTAATAAATATTGATATAAAGCATACATTCACCCGCATATATCTATCACTCTTTTTTTGTTAGCCTTCCACAAGCACCTATGTCCAGCCCAATACTTTAAATTACGTTAATTTTCAGGAAATTAACAAGGGACCTGCCCCAAGAAGACAGGTCTCTACAAAAACAGAGCAACCTCAGATCACTTACAAACTGCAGCTGCTACAGTTTTAATTCAAAGACTATTACATTTAAAAAATATATATTTTAGTCACATGACTGTGTTCAAAGTTTTCAGTTTGTCCAGTGGTGATTGGTTATCTATTTCGAGACAGAAATGGGAAAGCAAGATGATGTGTTTTACTGAACCAATTACTAGAACACAAATAGTGGATGTCACTGGTTTCTAACAATCTTTAACCCAAGGAATTTCCCCTCTTTTAACGTATAATTTAGAGTAATAAGTAGACATTGTAATTTCACAAGATTATCACAGAACAAAAAAGCAGAAGTCATTGAAATAATTTTTTTTAATTCTTCACGGTACGTATTGTACTTAGACAGTATTGTATATATGCGCTGAGGAGACAAGTCACTGGTCTAGCTATTTCCCTGGATTACCTTTCTATTGTAGGTCTTCTCAGCAGAATGACTGGTCAAAAAGTCTGTGCTGCCCAAGCTATTCTTTCCCATTTAAATATCACGGCATCAGCTGCAATTATAAATTTGACTGTAGTTTTATAAATGCCATTTTCCAAGCAATCAAGAAAATGGTGTCTTTGCATAAAGTTCATTGAACAAAATAAACTATCTTGTAAAAGCTACTTTCTCTGTTATTCCATCCCTTAACGTTGTTTTGAGTAGTCAGAAACTTGTAATAACCTGGTGTTTAAGGCCTGTCTACAGTTTTAGTTCAAATTAAACAACTTACAATTTTGTGGTAAGAAATGGAACTTGTTTCCTTTCCTGTGATTTTTTTTTATCTTTTTTTTTTTCATCTTTTGTTTGGTGAATGTCTTTAGCTAAACGTAGCCAGTTACAAGGTTGAACTGTTTTCTTTTCTTCATTTAAATTAATGAGGATGTTTCCGGCATTCATCCTAACACAATATCCAGCAGATACTAGTAGCTGCAGACCAGACTTTCCCTGTCAATAGCAACCTACTTGTGAAGACCTCATTTATATGCAAAATTTAAAGTACCTTATCCATATTTTTACACAATTTTTAATATCTCTTAAGACCAGGGCTCACAACACCTTAATTCAGTTTTCTGAATTCCTCCATCCCCTGCAGTTATCTAGCAATTTGATTTTAATATTCATTCCATAAAGAAGTGACACTAATTCTCTCATTAATCTTCTCTTCTCTTTCAGCAGCCAAGATCTAGGAAAGTCACTTCCCATTGATCAGTAGCTTTTAATACAAAAATACAGGTTAGACGGTACAGATGTCACACTGTAAGCATAAGTGTTAATTGCATTTTAAGATGATGATCTTTCTCAGCAAATTGGATCAGTGATGTGCCAGCAAGGACCTGAGCAATCATTCTCAGAAGCATACGAATCCAAACCCTAATGCATTTCATAATATATTATGTAGCAAATATAAGGTCTGTTAAAACACATTATTAAAGTCACTAAGGCTGCTAATTTCAGGGCACTTAAATGCAGTCACAGCTAGCAGGAAAGGTCACATAAAAGCTGACAGCATTTTGGAATCAAGAGTTTAAAAAAAGCCCAGCCTTAAAAGGAGTAAATAAGTTATTGCATAGATCTTTCATCCTCCAAATTAAAAAGACAAGAGAAAACGAATGCTGTAGAAATATAGGACATCACTTACCATATCATGGTCTGAAACAGGCCCAAAACTGGTGACGAAGATGTCAGTCTTTACTTCAGTTACACGCTCTGATGAAGCAGGAAATTAGGACAGTGAGTGTCTATCAACAGCCTTCATTAGATCTAACCACTACCAATTCTCACAATAAATAGAAAAATTATTGGCTTTGATTAGCCATTCTAAAATTAGTCTACAATACGGTCCTGATAATTTATTGCTTCTAGATGTAATTTCACAGTCAATATTGTCAGCAACAATTTTTTTATTAGTTTCAACAAAAATTTTTGAGACATGGCTTGTGATGCTCACAGTACAGCAGCCATAGTTCCACTGTTGTGTAAGTCTTTTCATTCTTTGACTAATAAATCTTCTCGTCTGACAATATAAACAGTGCTGAATATTTTACACAGTAGTCAAAAGTCTCATTGGGTACTCAGGGTTTCTGGGAAAGCTGAATGAAAGTCTCTAATAATTAACCCTGGGCTTATGAATTATGTATTTTGTATTGAGACACAGGAACATAGAAGAAAAAGAGAGAGAGAGAATACATTACGGTGTATAAAAACATAAAGATGTTTTATTGGCATGAGTTAGAAATGGCTGCGTTACCCTTAATTGCAATAAACAAAAAGGAGTTAAAACTTTTCCAAATAAATATCAGCTAAACTTCTCTACTACAATTTTTAACTTATGTATAATGTTAGAGTTTGTAAATGCTTTAGATATCTTTGTAAACTGATACAGGCACTAACATTAGATTTCCCTTAAACTACCAAATTTGTGTTATAGGCCTCAATGATAGATTAATATAAATAATAATTCAGAAATCTATAACATGTGCATAACACAGATTATATGTATACGCTATACCATAAAGCTAGACTTCTCTGTGATTTCAAGGATGTACGTTTGCTCCATGGCACGATGCCCTTGGCCACTTCAGAAGAATCTAATGATTTTAGTGGTCACAAATGCTGAGTATGAGGCACCTAAAATGGTGCTGATCTCCAGAGAGCCAAACAGCTGGCTTCTGCAAGTCTACTGTTAAAAGTCACTTTGAGAAACGCACAAGCTTAACCTCCCCCCTTCCTCTCCTCCCCCTCTACACACACACACACAGAGTAACAGTCACTTCTGAACATATTGGTGCTTTCTAGGCCACACATCACAAAATATTCACCCAGGGTGGCATATATCAAAATAGCTCTGTTGATTTAAATATAGCTGCAGGGAGTAACACCACCTGGAGGCATAAATCCAAACAGTGTTGAGTGGAGCTAACCCCATCAGATTTCAGAATTTACAGTGATGTAAGTCTGAATACATTTACTATAGTGCTATGCAAGCCAGCGTGGGGTTTTTGGTAGAAATTTCAAATGTGGAAGGAGCAATACATTTCTCAAATTACTTTCAAAAAAGAAACAAATTGAGAAACTTGAAATATGAAAAGTAATCCTAAAGAAAAAGGCTAACAGAAAAGTACACACATAGTAAGCAAAAGTCATGGAGTAGGCAAAAATTTTCATAAGACTAAGAAACATATACATGTAGCTATCTGTAAAATGTTATTTAAATATTGTAAAATAATTAATTTAAAAAACTAATTTAATACAATCCTCTGATTTCAAAAAACTTTGGACTATTTAAAGATGATTTGTTCCATCTGACAAGAAAGTTCTGACAGAAGAGAAGTGAAATAAGGAATCAAGGTTAAGCAGCCAGTAACAATATACATTTCTGTATCTGTTGCAAAAGTTCTGAGAATCAGTGTTCTACAATGCACATACAGGTTTTTCACTTTCATTCAAAAAAGTCTACAACTTCTAAATATATATAAATATAAGCAGTTTAGTCTAAATGTTTAATATACATACAATAAAATATCTCCATTTGTGAGACAGCAATAATCAAGATGCAATATGAGATCTGATTCTGCTGTCATTCTAGTAATGCACTGAATGACACTCGCATTCTGTTAGCAAGTTAATGCAAAGATTAAGTGGTAGCAAAAGTAATCTCCAGGACTCATTCAAAAAGCTAAAGGATGAAATTTCAAATGTATTATTCATAATCACAGAAAGCAAAATACTATGATGTGGCTGAATTGCCTAATAATATTCTTTTCGTTCTTTATATCTGTGACTGAGATGTGTACAAACTACAGTGACTATTGACAAAAGCATTGGATAGGTGAAATTTCCTCCTTGGCTGTCCAGTGAAATTAGTATGTGACCTTATCATTGTTTACAAGCTTTTCAACTGACTTAAAGAAATCTAAGTATTCTCTTGACATCTAATTGGCTCTGGACTTAAGAAGTTCACAGTGAGAATTTAACCTTCTGTTATTGGAAGAACCATATGGTTGTCCAGAAATTACTTGGCTTGGGAAAAAAGTATTCTCTCCTTCAGCTCATCACTTTCACAAAAGTTCAAGAGGCTGTGGTCTTGCATGAAACAGCTGGCAGAAAAAGAAGATGGAGATTTCACAAGGTCCAGTTAAACATTGCTGAATGGATTCTTTAAGTTCCAGCTACTGAATCACCTTTTCTTAAGACTGAGAAACTAATATCATCATGAAACCTATTGGACTTTTACGTATTGAAAAGTGAAACTCAAATGACTATTTTAAAGATCTTTCATCCTGACTCCCCATCCCTCCATCTCCTTTCCATTGAGGCAATTCCACTGGTGTCTTTAGGAGACAGAAGATGCTAGAAGCTCTTCAGGCACAATGCATTCATCCCTTAATGGTGTAAACCTGGAGTCCCAGCTCTGAGTGAGCCTCTATTTAATATCATATAGCTAACTGATTTACCTTGCACAAACACAGAATATGCTCTTTGAATCAGCAGCATATCATGTAGTGGTATCCTGAATTCTAGTTTTGAGAGACATATGGTCATAGTAGAGAGGTTGAGGCTTAAGGAAATCACTTTGAGGACACAAAATGGAAACTAAAGGCTTTGGCAGTAAGATGGAAGATTTCCAAGGGAGTGGAAAAATGAGTGATGCCTTTCATTTCTATATAATATTGAAGATAATTTAAGTGGCATGCAAGTCATAAGTAATAATAGAAAATTCAGATTGTGAGCTCACAAGAGATTGTGTTATCTTCATACTGATTACACTTTTGGAGAGCATCTAATTCCAGGTCTCTTCAAATCCAGATAAAACCACCATACACACCACCAAATGATTTCTTTTTTCTTTGATATGTACCTCATTTTCAAGAGCAATGAAAAAGTGTGTATGAACACACAGAAAAAGTTTAGCCCCTCCAAAGCCATATGGAAGTTTTGAAATTTTTGTTTACTGTTTTACTAATTAGATGATTCAACTGCGCTTTGTTAAGAGCTTCAGAAGTTGTGAGTCACTCCTGCACAGGACATGTTTACTCATACAGTTGGGATATATATATAGAATCAAGGTTAACCATGTTCAGTTTGCAGCTTGATCACCATGGAAAGGCTTAAACTGTGCTTCAGATGCTCAGAGGAACCTCAAATCCTGAGCTATATTCAAAACCTTCACAGTATGCCTAAGAACTAGAGAACATTCTAAGTCATTGAACAACACAAGCTCAGGTCAGGAGCTGATCGGACTGCTGAGGATAGATCTATCAGTTGTAAAGACATGTTAACCATGTCTCTTGACTGTAACATCTATCTCATGAATCAGGACTAACTAATATAGGGATATCTGTAGAACATGTAACAATTCCAGTAAAAAAAAACAAGGAAATTGTTACTGACTTACTAGTTTTAGTTTAAGGCAACCGTAGGGTCCAGGTAGTTACTGATCAGCAAAGTAACAACTGAGTACCACACCTAGACACTCTGGAACACAGCCTCAGGCAATTGATCCACATATAGCTCTGAAAGTACCAGTCAATGTGAACTACCACAGTTTTACTGTTTACAACTACTGCATTTTGCTAATGATGTTGTTAGACTAACATAAATTTTCAAAATTAATAACAATAAATAATTTGATTTAAACTCCCAGGGAGCTCATTATTGCTAGAATTGTGATTAGATTACAAATTGAGAACAAAATAAGAAATACAGATTTATTTAAACAGCAGGAAATAAGCCTATTTATCATAGGAAACTATACTATTTCCTTTTCTGACCTGCTGGTATTTGAGCACAAGCCTTATTTGAATTGCATATTTTGTTGGTTTAAATTAATTCCATCTTTTTTGGTAATGCACTTGTTCCTCCTGCATGTCTTGTGTAAGTGTGTGCTGTAATTATTAAAATAGAGAAGACTTTTCCTATGGTTTTGAATTAGAGGAATTTAGATGTCTGTATAGCGTACACTACTATTACTAAAAAAAGTCATGTAGACTAATTACCCTGGCTGCATCCTATGAAGTATTTTGATTGAGGGACCACAACAAATACACTCATAAGAATTTTGTGCTGCTGCTTGTGTAAAAGTAGAGACCAAAAGGGAGAACAGTGAGCTGTCCTGTGATTACCCAGCTACAGTCTGTGCTGCTATGAAGGATTTACCAAGAGCGGCGCAGTGTCATGACAGCTCTCCCCATGCCAATTAACAGCTCAAAGCTGCTCATATCCTCCCTACCTCCCTACTGTTGTATTAAATCAATTTTCCTAGGGTCTTCTATGGCTTTTTACAGTTGCCTTTACATCAATGTGGTGCCTACAGAGTGGAAAAAAGACCAAAATCAGACCTTTCAGTTTTTACAGAGTTAAGTATAGCATCTAGTCCTTCTTCACTTACAGAATTATGTGTAGAGGTCCAGTATAGGACTCCCTTTTCATTTAGAGTAGAAACATTTAGGTTTTAACTAGATTTTTATTACACATACAGACCAAACCCATATTTTCCCTAAACTTTGACTTAGCTCAGATGCGAGTTCAAATCCAATAATTTCCATTGGGACCTCAATCACCAAGAGGTAAGTTTATCATATATTCATAGTTTATGTTCTCATAAAACTGAATTTTAAAACCTAATTAACATAATACTGTCAGGTTTGTTTTCCATCACTTTAAATATAAGCACTCTGTGGAAGTAATGAATTGCCTGAGATGGACCAACATTCTACTTAAGGACAGTCACACTCAGTTTTGATAAACATCACACAGGAGAGCTTAACAAATAGCTTTTACCGATAGCACACAAGAAGTATAATTCTGTTCAATACTGAAGTAACGTTGATAAACTACTTGGGATGATCTAACGGGCATTCGACCCACCTATAAAAGCAAATTTCATTTAGGAAGATTCTGGTCTGCCTAATCAAACCCACTTTTGTTCTTCTTAGTTCTGTATTAAACAATCTTTCTGCCCACCCTCTCTCCACTGTGGCACTCCAAATCTGCCATGGTGACATCCCAGGGCTCATCTCTATTCCCCACATGAAGACAACCCAGAACAAAAGGCAATGACATATCCATTTATCTGAGGAACTTATTTTTCCATCATTTTTCATTGCTTCTCAATTCTTTTAAACTCCTGCTCTAGATATAGTGGTTTAGCATGAGAGGTCACCACACATTGAGGTGAATTTTCCTCCTTATTTGACTCCTTCCCACCACTATCTGATCCTTTATTTTGTTCAGGATTGTGTATTTGAAAAGAGAACAGCATCTTTATTATTTAGCCTATTTTTGATCACTTGTAGTTCTAGGATCCAGATAGTTCCCACAGAAAATTATGCTATTACCTAAATGACCTCACTGGTTTTTTTTCCCTTAATGTCTAACATAATTTCCTCTTTTTTCAGCTTCAATATGTTACTCTCTGCAATTCCTCCTCCTTGCTTTTTGTAAATTATTATCCTCTCATAGAGTTAATAGGTGTCCTCTAGTGTGATTCGGAATGTTTTTACATTCATTTTGAAAGTTCTATTTTCCAGGCATAAATAACTGTAAATGTAGTTATTTGTCCATGTTTATGGATGGGTACAACAGATGCTATTCCCTAACAATGTCTGACTAAGTGACTATGCCTATATATGAAGGAAGCAAACATCTAAATAACATAATTTACATTAATAATTATTGATAGGAGGTGCAAATGTGCCACTGCATAACATAGTGCCGTGTGTGTTTCTTTTAAAGAAAAATCAGATTTATTTTAGCCACAATGCCATTTTTTAAATACTGAGCATATTCAGTCACTATAATTTTTCCCTGTGGGTTACCTACTCCATTTTTTTTTTTATATTCTTGTTAAGGAGAAATAATTCCTTCTTTGTTTAATGGCAAAATGCTTAGAGCTGCTCACTTAATTTCAGATATGGTCTTACTGGGTTATCTGATTAATAATAATTTTCATTCCCATACTCTTTATGGAGCATATGTGTGTTTTAGTTTTCCTTTTGAAGCGATACCTCAAAAGAAGATCTAAAAAAAGGAAAGGGAGGACTTAATATTAATCTAGCACTGATTCCATGCATGCTGAAAGAGTGATTCAAAATTCAGCAGCTCTAAATTTTTCATTATCTTAATGCTCCGTCTTTTAACCTGGCTTTCCAATTAATATATAGTATAACTTCAACAATGTATCTGTTTCTGTTCATGCACAGAATTCTCTTTTCTGTAGGTGTATATATTTGAAAAACTGCACTACAGAAGGAGAGGTTGTACAGGGATAAGCAGAGAGTTTTCTGCAATATGCCCCTTTCTGTAGAAGAAAGTAATTGTACCACACAATGTTTTACTTCATCTACTGTTTCTCAGAAGGCACAGAAAGAACAGGACAGACAATTTTGGATAACTGGAAGAGTGCTATAGTGTAACCAGTGGTACACAGATTTACATTGTGCCTAACAGCATCAAATTTATCAGCGTAACATGTATGTATGAGGGTCTCTGGTCTCTTGAATTCTCGGATAGCTACATTACAGCTAATATGGAATGAATGAGTTTTAGACCTAATTCTGTATATCTAAAAATGCGGTTATATTGGTAGCTTTCTTAAATTTCTCTTTAGAGTAGATAAAAATCATGTTCTGATTGAAATATTTAATAAGAAGCCATCACTGATGTTGGGAAGAAAAGTGAAACCACTGCTCTGCCATATACATTTTAAAATTTCCAGCAACAGGTCATGCTATAATGGAAGGCTATTGAATTTCCAGCTCCAAAAACTGTGCTATATTTGATATATTGATTTAGGTTTCTCATTGGATATTTTTACATATGGAATATTTCAGAATACATTTCCCCATTATACAAAGCCTTTAAATAAAATGTGTCAAAACTGAGTCATCTTGAGGCTCTTAACTCATATTTAGATATCTCAGCAAGAAGGTTTTGCAAAGGTGAATTTCAAAATTCCTGAGCAAACCCTTTATTATAAATTGGTACCAGAATTGAAAACATTGGAGTAGATGTTTGTCCCTAGTTTTTGAAGTCTATCATTTATGTCTTTTGAATAAAGTATTATTCAACAGTCAAAAGAGTAAAGCTACTTCTTACTACATTTGATTTTAAACATTAATTTACTGCCCACAATTTCATTAGATGTGGGATTTATTAAAAGTCCTGGTACTCTTAGTTCTAGTATTCAAAGCTGGCAAACATAACGGATAAATTAAATTTACTCTGCTGAACTGACACCGTGAAACTATACTGTACTGAGCAGCAGGAAAATTATGATATTCAAGGTTCTTGGCTACAGGCAGGAACAGGCAACACAATTCAGAAAAGGAGGGATGCAAAGATTATTTAAACTTCTCTAACCCTTGGTTAGAGAAACTACTCCAGTCCTGCCTTCCCTCCACCCCATATTTCCCGTGCTCCACTCATTTTTGCTTTTAACTGATAGTGATGCAAATAGCTATTAAAATTTGTGAAGAGACTGATTTCTTCCTATAGAAGCAGTTATATTAAACAACCTTTCTGTCAGGAGTAAATTTTAACTGGACTGGATGATCCTTTCATGAGGTACGCAGACCTGTTCTCCCAGTACACCCTTGAAGTCTGGCTTCAGAAACATATATAAACACACAGACATAAGACGCCATACTGATGTGTTTAGTTCTTTACATTGCAATCCAGAGAATGAGAGAAAATCCTTTCCTTGCGTCTCCCTTTGTTTGCTCTTCTAGTAACTGTTAAACAAATCATAATAGCTACAAAACTCATATAAGAAATCATCATGTGCTCAGATTTTTCTTGTAGACAGGTACCAGACTCTACACAGTTTACAGCATTTCATTTATTTATTGCCTTCTCTGCTATGTTTATTTACTGTGATATAATAGCTGACTTAATTGTACAGTTGCATTAATCAAAGATTAAGAAGCATTTATTCCTACACTAGTCCAAAGGTTTACAAGTAAGCAGGCAAAACTGCTGGTAGATAAAAGTAAAAAGTGATTCCTATTTTGTTCTGTATTATCTGAAATTGCACACAGAAATTTACAGACCAACCCACTTTTAAATGTGTTAATTAATACTTTATAAACATAATTTTATCTTTAGCCATTCCTTGAAGTCAGTGAAGTCAAACCATTGAAGAAGTTGGCTCACAATTCAAGAACTGATGTAAGATGGTAGCCTCAAACCACAGAATAAGCTTACTCTTAATTACTTTCCATTTCATCCGCAGGAGATGGTATAAGAATTCTTAATGTAATACCCTGTTCTTATAATGCAGTTCCTCTGAGAGCTATTATATGAAAACAGGTTGAACTATACTTTGTGGGGTGGGTAGCTTTGTTTTATTTTACCTGAAGAGTCCAAAAGAAAAAAAAAAAAAAGACATCTGGAAGAAGTAAAACCAACCTTTCCATGCACTGGAGAGAACGGATTTGTGCTTGTATGTTTAGAACTTGCATGTTTGTAAGCAACGAGCTTTTAAGACCCAATTTTGGGGTCGTGTCACAGTAGAACAAATCAAAGAGTGAACGTAGGGATGCTGATAAAGACTAGGCTTTGTAACAACGTTTTTATAAAGTTGTAATTGCTATGTGTTTTTATACCTTTTTATGGATTCAGCACCAAAAGCAGAAGAAGAAAGACATTTTTACCAAGCTGCGAAGACAAAATGTTACAGAAACAAATCCTGACATACCTAAGTAGAAAAAAAAGAATCTTATAAACTTCTCTGAGACTTTTATGACTAAGGTTGAGTGATGCTTTCACTTTTAAAACCAAATCCTCTTATGAAGATAGTCATAGATAGATGTGCTGTTGAGGCCTGATTCATAAACTTGTCATTTGTCAGGTCACAGGTCATATTTTATTATCTTTTACTCTTCATACATTTAAAGTTTTAATGTGTATTCAGAGGTCTTCTTGAATTGTGAACCATTTTCTTCTTCTTTTGGGTATAAGTGTGAGAAAACTGAGAATGTGAAAGAGAGAAGGCATGGCATTTTTGAAAAAATGGATATTACATATCAGCATTATTTTATGTGTATATATAAATGGAATTAAAACAAGTATATCGTGGAAAAATAACATTGCTTTAACTTATTTTTATCTAACATGTAACCTTGAAAATTATAGTACAACACACCTCCCAGTCCTGGTCTCAAGCGGTTATCATAACCATCCAGCAGACGATCCAATATTCTGGTAAATACTGTGGTGTTGTCTTTAAGTTCATCTTGTGATGAGGTTTGTCCATAGCTGAAATACAGAACAGTTAACACTGAAAAACAGTAATTCCAAAATCTGTTTAATCTTCCTTATACTGGTTTATGGCCACAAAATCTCTCGCATAAAGCAAGATTGTACTGCTTTATAGGGTTCTTTCATGTAAACCTTTTCTTCTTAAATTGTACATTTTTTGTAAAATCATAGAAAACCAGTGCCTCTCTATAAACGGTGAGCAAATAGAATGTTGGTTCCTTTATGCTGATCTCATTATTCATTAATGGTTATAATATTCTAATATGTGTTCCTCAGTAAAAGGCTTATTTGTCAGCAAAAGATAATGTGTTTAATTCATAATAGTTATAAAGGGTTTACATACAAAGAAAGATACAATAATTTAGAACATTGACACTGAAATACTGAAAATAAATGCTAAAATAAAGATAAAACAAAAAATACAGAGATGTCTTCTTTATGAATATAGAAGTAAATCAAGTGCGTGTGCATTTTCATAGGTCAATATATAATTTTGCTTTATTTTGTTTCCCATTTTCGTTTAACAATTAGATTTGGAGGAATACCTCCAACTTTTCCTTACAAATGTGTAACAAGACCATCTGTTGATAAGGAAATCTCTCATATCTATAAAGCTTTGCTTACAGATCCCTAATGTATATCTGTAACTTAGCCAAAGGTCCCGAAATTTTGCTTGAACAAGGATAAAATTAAGCTCTTTGAACTCAGCTACCAAAATCTTACTTCCATCAATACAAATCAGAATCAAATTCTTGGGCTTAGTGGTTTCTGTCTGCTGTAGAAGACATCAGAATCAACCTTTTCCTTAATTCTGAAACCTTTACCAAATACCCTGTCATACATGATTCCCTTAATCATAGATTACAGTTGTCTTAAAGCCAAACCCAGTATCGTTTTTTCATTCATTGCTGGGAAGATTTCCATTATAAACATGTGTAGTCATCATGACTAAAAGCAAAAACACTGCTTTCCAAAACATCATTTTGTCACACACATTGCTACTGAACTAGATAAACAGTGCAGTGCCAAAAACTTGTGTTAGGATCGGGTCTAGTCACAAAAGCGTTTCTTCCATTGGGCAGCTTGTTATCCGTACTGCTACAGCGACAAGCGGGTCTCAGTGCTCTGCCAGTTGTTCCTGCTCTAACCAGCAAAGACCGTCTTACGAGGAATATACTGTTACATGAAATGATCTGGTTCTATTAAAATACCTACGAAATTATTTTCTGTAAGCTGCCTCAGTCAAATATCCTCCGTGTATCCCACACGTATATTCCACTTGTATCAAATACAAAGAGAAGGAGGAAAGATACCCTGAATATAGGTACTCTGGAAATGCTTCCAAGTTATTTTGCAGTACAGGTTTGAATAAGTAACACTACAAATTTAAATGAGTTTCAGAACTGACACTCATAGAAGTTTCGCTAACTTTTGTTTTATTTCAATAGGATGTGACTTTGTAGAGAAAAATTTTCAGTGTTTTTTAATGCATATAAATCACTGTTTCTAAAGAAGAAGACAAAATCTCTAACAGTTTTAAAAAATACTATGAATTTCTTTTAGACATATCATATAATTTCACTTAATAAAAAAATACATTGATTTATATTTATTTTTCATACCTACAGTTGCATTTTAAGTCACAGATGTTAATATTTTTTTCTTTTATGCTTCCTCTGTGTTACCAAATAATAAGTTCTCCTGCTGTCTCCAGTGAGCATTATCTTTCAAAGGATCATTCCTCGTACGCCTTATGTAGAATTGCAACACAGGACTTTTCACTGGACTAAGTTTTACATTAACACTCGTTGTCAGTAAACAAGCTGCTGTATGTACATATCTCAAGGATAGCAGAAGGTCGTCAGGATTAAGGTGGCAGAAGGATATAAAAACACTTCAGAAATGTTAGTGGTAAATAAATGAGTATGTTTGCAGAAGAGGCGTCAGAAAGATGGACTAGTGGCAGTGCAGTCGGAAAGGATGCAATACAATACTCCGCTTCCATTCTGGGTGTCCGCATTTGTCAGTACCCTTACCTGTTCTTCCCACCATTTTATCAGAGGTAAAAAGCACCGTTAGGGCGGGTTTTAGCTGACATATGGTCACAACAGGAAGAATGTGAACATCTGTGTACATATCAAGTATACTGTAACTCCAGAGGGATTGTGATTTTTCATTCAAAACACACATATTAAAATAGTCCTAATGCTGTTTTTTTATGACAAGAAGAATGATATGGAAAGACTGTGTCTTTCTGTATCACAGACACTTTATCTAATTCATTGTTTTTTATCATAAAGGATTAACAGCACTCTAGAAGAAAAGGCAAGGGAAATTACTATTACAAAATGGCTTTAGAAAGAGATATATTTCATGTAAGCTGTGTACATTTTGAGGTAAAAGTGATTGTATGCAATTGTGTTTTCATATTAAACCACAGTATAATAAAAAACTATGCACTAACTCCATCTACAGGTCATTATAATAGTCACACCATATAATTTTTAAACACTAGTCCAATGCATTTTAATTGTCACTTTAAGAATGCACATGCATACATTATAGATATAATGAATGTATGTACACATATGTATGTACACTTGTCTATATAATAAACATGTTTTCACAAAATTCTCTAGCTAGGCCAGATGAAGTACTTCATGAATACTTCAAATCTCACATTTCTTAATATATTATCAAAATAAAGGTATTTCTTCTAAAATATCATGTTTATTCAATACAGCAATTGTAACATGAATCACTCGCTTTTATTCTTTTTTTTTTTTTTAGAGGAAACACTGGTGCAGATGAACCTTTGCCCCTTTGCCCACACCACTCTATTTAAAATCTTCAAGGTAGCCAGAAGATAAGTTTATTTAGAGCTGCAAATGCATAAGAAGACACTATGGAGATCAAGGCACAAATATATCTTTTAGGGATCACTATTGACAATACAAAATTTCTACTGCTTTTTGGTCATTAGGCAGCATTATTGACACGACATTAATATTTTTAAAATACAGAAATATATCTGTGAGTCTTCTTAAACACCTTTACTGAATTTTGAATTGCAGGGAATACTTCAAGTATACTCCAAACTGCTTTATAGTCTTTACTTAACTTACTAATTTTTAGACGAGGTGTTGTATGATTACAAATTGTTCTTAATACTAATACTATTTTTAGATTATGATTTCAACATATATTCCATAAACATTCAGTGCAGCATTGTCTTTCAAACACAAACTGTTAAGGGGTTTGAGCTTTCAAATTCTTCTTCATCCAAGGAGTCTCCCTTCACCAGGAAGGTCTACTTCGGATTTGCAAAAACATCTACTAAGTTAGGATACAATCCTGACCAACCAAGAAGTGACAGTTTTGCCTCTGCTTGCAGGGACAAGAAAGTTACTAAATAGCACTTAAATGAGATTAAAAAAACCTTAATTACACTTTTGTTTTCCTCTAAAGAAACTTGTATTCCTGAGTAGTCATTATATAAGAGTAGAAAGCATTGCACAGGTGTTTGAGGTAGTTTAGTTTCAACTTGCTTCAGAAAGCTTTTGCTTTTTTTTCTTCACAATACTGAAAAAAAGATGTTATGCAAACAAATTGTAGTTTTCTTTCAGTCTTCCCTTAGATTTAGCGGGGATTTGAACGGGGATTAACTTCCCCCAATACACTTAGTAGTAGTGCAGCCCATGCAGTATTTGTCTTATGCTGCTATATTAAATTAAAGGTTCCTAAAATATGTTGGTGCATTAAAAAATATCTCCCCACCTTCTTTCAGTCAATGCATTCAGAAGGAGGCTCCAGGCCCAGAGGCAGTCACAAAGCACCAGGAGTCTCTTCATGGTGGGCTCTGAAACTAGAAGGAAAATAATCATCAACATCCCCTACATTAAAACAGGTACTGTAGAAAAAGATGTCTCATTTTGAAAACTTTTGCAGAATAATTTGATGTCAGGCAATGACCTCCCAATACTATAGCTCATGTCATTCGCAATAAGGGAGCACGGCCTTGGCTGTTCTCCTGTTTACCTTCTACTTTTAGACAGAGAGGCTTAGGGTGGGATTTATTTCATGGTAAGGGTGTATTCCTGTTTGCATTATTCTTGAACTTTAACAAAAACAACTATGAGTTAAAGCTGCTGTCCCCAAACTCTGTGGCAATTCTTACTCGGTTTCCTCCTGTGTTGATAATGTGACAAGGCGCCGCCATTACATTTCCACATAACCAAGTGTAATTGGTTTTTGTTTGACTTGAACCAGCCCGCGTCCTTCCAGACCTCTTGGAAGGTGTCAGTGTGCGGTAGGGTGACTGAGGGGAGCGGTGCTTCCCTCACAGCCACTGCTTTGCTTTGATGTGATGTAAGCAACTTTCTTCTACACATATTACTATTCTCCTCTTCCCTGAAATATTAGCATCAGAGGAGGAGTAAAATGATCAGCTTCTGACTCTGTGATCTGCTGCTACATATGCACACTAATATTTTTGTTGGGCTAAAGGGCACAATTCATAATCAAACCATGTGCTGACAACCCACACACCATGTCCTAAATCTCTACCAGTTTCTGATTGCTGCTAGGAGATGTTTTTGCATTAGCAGCCTTCTCCTCCTCTCCAAATGTCTCCTGTCCTCTCTCCAGACTTCACCGAGTTACTCTCAGTTTACCTTTGAGTAAAAAGTAACACAACTCAGAAGGTTTCTTTCGCTTTCTAATAAACCATAAAATACAAAGTTAGCTGATATTTGTGGAATCGGTGTTCCAGATTCCACTGATTGCCCAGGAGATGCTGCAGGTCCCTTTACGTATCTATATACTGTGTGCAGGAATCCAGTCGATTTTTAGTATTCATTACATTAAATAAGGGTAACAAAATATGTAGCCTGTATTTTCTCCCAATAGTGAATTGGAATTTTTTTAAATGCTTGAGAAAATGAAGCACTGTACATGGAAATGTTCTTGTACCTTTAAATAAAGCTACCCCGATTCACTGCACACTCTCAGGGACAATTTAAATCAATAAAATATCATTACAAAGCGGTATGTAAGCAATGAGATATAATTAATGCGTTTATAGGCAAATGATCGGCAGATAAGCATTGAGTGGGGCTGAGCTAATCTAACTGGATAGGAAGGAGCTGGATGTGGCAGGAAAGCATGGATAAAGATCTTCAGGGACTAGACTGCATCTTAACTTGCCCTGTGATCAGCCCCCTTACAAAGGGAAAGGCAACATCTGTGGCTTCAAAAATCGCCTTCTCCCGGTTCTGCCAACTTCTGCCTTTGCAAGAGGCTCCTCGGGATAAAGAACGGAAAGTGAAATTATTCTGAACTATCTCGATCTGTTGAGCTCCACGCCCGCCCCCCCTCCTAACACCACCCCCCGCTTCAATAAACCCATACAGGCACTATAAATCCTGGAGAAGGAAAGTTTCTTGCAGCTGGAAAAAGCAAATGTTAACAAAGACTTTCAAGGAGCATTAAACACCAGCATCCCCCAGACCCTGGCCTCCCCCAGCCCGCACCGCCTGTGAAACCACCTCTGGTTTTCCCATTCAAAATGGGAGAAAGAGCCACGCTTCTGGGAGAATTTCAGCAGCTCCCACTGGAAAAAAAAAGGGGGGGAAGGGGGCATTTTGATGCATTTTTGACCCCCGGTGAGAGATTTGCCCATCTCTGAGGCGCAAATCGAGACTTGTTTTCCTCCCGGCATTTCAACTTTGTATTTCCCCCTCACCCTCAGAAAGCCACCCCTCCCACCGCCTCCCTCGGAAAAAAAAAAAAAAAAAAAAAAAAAAAAGAAAAAAGGAAAAAGAAAAAAAGCCCCCAAACCGAAAAACCTTTTCCAAGCGACCGGTGGAAATCAGTCGACGCTAAAAAATAAATAAATAAGATAAATTAAAATGCTCATCGATCGCTGCGGATTTTCAAGCTGGAGGGATAGGAAAAAATCACACCGACCCGGCGGTACCTGCGGAGAGAGGGGAGAGGAGCCGCCTGCGCGCCTGGACGCGGTGCCCGCAGCCGGGAGCGCCCGGAGGGGTGCGGGTGCGTGTGTGTGCG